CACTGGTTTACCCGCAGGAGGGGAAACACGACGTTGAGGGATCAGCCACGGTGTTCTACATGGTGCACTGCGGGAAAGCCCTGTACAACAACCTGCTGTGGAGGAACTGGTCGGCAGAGGCCCTGTCCAAAATGGTCATCATCGGGAACAGCTTCCAAGGGATGGAGGAGAGGTGGGGGTGCACCTGCGGGGAGAGAGGCTGAGGCCTCCAGCACCACCTTCCTTCCTTTGCACTGTTTTGTATTGCTTCTGACACTGATTTCCAGCTTCTGCTCACTTTCTTGCTGTCTGGTTTGCAGCCATCAGCCACCTCCTCTGTCCCCCACGCTGATGCACAGTGGCTGGCTAAATTCAGAGCATTGTTTAATGCTACCTTCTGTCATTCCAGGCTGTTGTCAAGAGTATTGGAAAGAGATTATTCTTACATAGCAAAGGTAAGGGACTCTAGTTTGTTAACAGCATGGTTTTGTGTTGACAAAGTGCCTTTTAATGAGAAAAGGAGTTAACTGCAGGTGGAAGAGGGTGGGTATTTTTAAACCCTTGTTTCCTGGCTGCCACAATATAAAAATGAATCACTTCAGACTCACTCTATCTGCAGAATCCACTGCATAAGGGTTGAAGTTAACATAACGCCAGCCTCAGCTTCACTGACTCTTAACTGGACTTTTCTGCCATCATGTTCTTTTACATCACACATAACTCTTTCACCCACTGCTCTCTAGGTGTTGAAAGGGACGGAGGAAGCAGCGCTCCCCACTCACCCTCGCTACCTGGACACCTTCAACGATACCTCTGTCCACTGGTTTCCCCTCCAAAAACTGCAGGAACTCTCCCCCGAGGTCTGGGATTTCCTGGAGGAGCCGACATACCAAGACTGTGATGACTTGGAGATCATCAGGAGGGAGGATGGAGCCGAGCGGTGCTGTCCTGCTGCCACCGAGGCCTGAGCCCTCGGGGCCACCTCTCTTCACGTGGCAACTTCTACAGGGAAGCTCAAGCACGGATGTGGTGTTGTGCTCTGCCAGAAAGGGGCAGCACCCGAACACTGAGCAGGAGGGGACTGTTTTGTATCTTATTTAATAAAAGGTAAAGCTGTGCTTTGGTTTACCTCAACAACAGCCCGTTAATTTAACTAAAACCCACCTCTCACAACACCTACACTGCAGCACACGGTCTGATCCCCTGATGTTCCAGCTCTGGGCTGAGGGGGGCCCAGCACCCATGGGTGGGCACCAGGCTGAAGGAGCCACCAGCACAGCTGGAGAGCAGTGGGATGTGTCCTGTGGCAGAGAGGGACAGTAACTTGCTGGCAGAGCAGCGGAGCACGCACTGTGTCACCGGAGACCTTGGGGACTTGTCCACACCAGACCTTGCTCCTCTCTTGTGGGAGCAGAGAATCACTGCCCACGGTCCCTTCAACATGCTGCTAAGCCTGTCACCGGTGGCAGTTACACAAGCACTGAAACACTTGTTCCTCCTGTCATGCCAACTCCCACGTGTCATTTCATCTCTTGACACTGCCTCAACAGCTCTTCTAGGAAGAAAGTCCTGGCACAGAGCCACAGCATCAGTCTATTTACAAATCTCTCTTCTTTATTCCGAGAGAGTTACACTAAAAACATCCACAAGCTGGTCTGGGCAGTCCAAAGCAGGGCCTCACTTGGCCATGTCGATGAGGCTCTGGAGGGAGGTGGGCACCCACGTCTTCTCCCCCTGCACGAACACAACGCCCCTGTCGATGTAGATGACAATGCGGCCGAAGGTGTAGAGCTGCTTCCCTTCGTGCCGCTTCCCGATCACGGGCATGAAAACGATGTTGTGCTCCTCTGCCTTAGTCTGAATGAGGTCCTTGAAGTTCATGGGCACGGAGCTGGCAGCCACGCCGATGCCGCGCTGGGCCATGTTCTCGGCCTCCCGCCGCTCCTGCATGGCCTCGTACTGGAAGTCCTTCCTCCGCTCCGTGTGAGTCAGGTAAGCGATGTTCTCTCGCGCGCCCGGCTGCATGTACCCGCCTGGGTGGAGACAGAACGGGTGAGAACAAGGTCCCAGTCCATTCCTAGCGCAAGGTCTGGGGGTAAACTCCAGTTCAGGACACAAAGTCATAGAATTATGGACTTGTTTGTGTTGGGGGGACCTTAAAGCCCATCCAGTCCCAATCCCCTGCCATGGGCAGGGACACCTTCCACTAGAGCCGGTTGCTCCAAGCCCCTGTGTCCAACCTGGCCTTGAACACTGCCAGGGATGGGGCAGCCACAGCTTCTCTGGGCACCCTGTGCCAGCACCTCAGCACCCTCACAGGGAAGAGCTTCTGCCTCACAGCTCACCTCAATCTCCCCTCTGGCAGGTTAAAACCACCCCCCTTGTCCTATTTCTCAACAGGTGAATTCCTCTTTGTGCAACACTTGCTCGCAGTATCATTTTGCATGGTCACTGCTCCCAGGAGCTGCTACAATACTGCCTAAACACAGGCTCACAAGAACCAGGTGTCGTGGTGCTGCTATCACCACAAGCCACCTACCGACACTGGAGGAGACAGCCCGGTTCATGATATCAAGAGCTTCATTAAATTTGTCTTTGATGGATGGATGTGCCAACACTTGGTCTGAGAACATGGATTTCCAACCCAGGTACCACTTCGTAATCTCTTCATAATTGGGGCTGTTACTCAGCCAGGAGCACAGCACCTGCAAAACAACAGGACAGATAAATGCAGCAGGACTGGTACATTTATGGAAGAGAGTCCTGATTGCCACTTATGTTATTACTGAGCTTTCACCCAGTCTGTTTTGAGGTGTATGGAGCTACAAGTAGAAATAACCCCAGTAACCAGTGGCAGTTAAAGCATTTCAGCACTGGGGCAGCAATTCCTAATGCAGGAGTCACTAAAACACAGGCAATCAGGCCTGTTCCCTCAGCCGTCACAGCCTCTCACCTGCAGCCACTTTGGGAAGAAGTGTTTCTCTAGCAGCCCAACAAGACTGGAGACAGAAATCATCCCCTCCCAGTCGATCACCCAGTAGAAGGCATCCATGTGCTGCTGGTGAGGGTTTATGATGAGCTCATTCAAACACATCCCTGGGTAAAGGGGGAGTAGAGTTAGAACAGAACCTGACTCAGTTTTGTCACCAGCAACACGCGTGGCTTGAGGAGCATCTGCTCTGCTCTAAGGGACACCTGGGGTCTTTAAACTGTTTGGCAGACCCCTGCCACCACAACAGTGTGCTGCCAGTTCCAGCCATCGCAATTTGCTGCCAGAACTGAGAATCTTCAATGTATTGTCTGAGGTAACACCAGAGTCAGGTTAACACGTGTCTTTTCTAGGGGTAAAGGGGAAGGTGGCAACATTTTTTTTGCCGAGCTGTCTGCCTTGTCTCACCTAGTTTAGGCACGATGTTTTTGACCATGAAAGCCTCCCATGACCCAGGAGTGAACACATCCTTCCAGGGCTGCAGAATAAGTTTGGCAGAGGAGTCACTGGGATGCCACTTCTGCAGCGCATTGGCCAGCTTGTTCCTGATGGGGGAATACAGCGGCTCCAGTCGCACCTGCATCAGGGGCAGCCAGGGGTGGATCCAGGAATGGATTGGGACTGTGTCTGTCAAAGGATTCCAGCTTTCAACCTGGAAGGTTAAAATAAGTCCATCTGTTAGCATTACATCTGGCCAGATACAAAAAGCCATAAAGCAAGCCCTAAGTCCTCAATGCAGACGGAGCAAACGGGGATTTTAAAAGCTCTACTTGACTGAATTCAAACTCCAGTTCAGGGCACAACCTCACTCTAATGCAGCCCTCTCACCCTACCTCCTTCTGAAGCTTGGGGAAGATGAGCTGATCCAGAATGTTATCCAGTATCCAGACAGGAACAACGTTTACCCAGCTGTCCAAGAAATCCACCATCGACCCACAGTTCCGCGGCTGCCACCGTGCCACTATGTTCCTGACATATGGCATCCAGACTTCCCACATCAGTCTGGGGGGAAAAATACACAGAGATCAAAGTTAAGCTTAAAGCTCTAGCCCCAGGGCTAAAGAAACCAAATGGTAGCTGTCATTTAAAAGCTACTTCTCTTTATACAGCTGACAGCTGGACTGCAACAGGCACATCAGGAGAATCAGCTGGAAAGCACACTTGTATCTGCGCTTCTCCACCCCTGAGGAGGCAGCACTTCAGATGCTGCACAAAGTACAACCCCTTTGCTCTTTACCTGTGAAAAGCATCTGTCGACAGGTCCTGCCCACCGTGTGACAACAGCTGGTCGTTCTCCAGGAGGCTCTTCCACTTGGCTATGATCTCTGTGCCATATGTGCAGTCCTGGAAATGAGAAGGCATGGGTGGCCTTTATCCCCTGTCATTCACTTCACGTGGTATCTACACGGAGCAGGCTGATGGTACACTTGGCTACAGCCTTCTCACCTGCTCAGAGGCAAGCCAGGAGCTTGCAGCTGTGATTAATAAAGCTCCACAAGAGAAAAATTCCACTTTGTGGATTTAACGGACCTCCACGGGGAGAAAAGGATAGTCTGGACTGTTTCAGGCGTACAGAGAGGATCCAGACTCTCACCTATCACAGCCTAAACAGCATTAAGAATAGACAGCATGTACCTGACTGCCTGAAAGACAGATCTCCTGCTTTTGCTAAGAACCAAGAATGAGAGGCTTGGCTTTCATCTGCTTTTTCCTCCCAACACCCATGAAAGGGATTGACTTTAACCTGAACTGTGAACTACCTCACAGAACGGCAGCTATTTGTCATGGAAAATTCAGAGTGGAGTTTTGGTTTGGTTTTTTCTTTCTCTCCAGACTGAGCAGGAATTTGGGGCGAGAAGGAGGGGAAGTCAAGGTAATACAGACTACTTAAACCATCAAGGAAGAACTGCAGATGAATCAAACTGAGACAGACCTTGAAGGGATCCCAGTTCTTGAAGTAATCTTTCATGAGAGGATAGACTATTGCCACTGCCAGGTCTACCCTGTCGGACATTCTGTACTCCTCATAGTACTTGTCTTGCAGCGTCTCAAAGATCTTTGCACACTCATCCAAGGTCAATGGATTTTCACAGCTGGGCTGCATCCGTCTCTCACACTCTTCCACCATCTCCAGCACTTTGCTGAGGTTGCTGATTGCCTTCTCCTCGTGTGAGAGGACTTCAGATATCTTCTGTATCTCATGGGTCAGGTTGACGACCATGTCCCTCTCAAACTGCAGCTGCCGGTCGTTCTGGATGATCTCCTGCTCCGTGATGTCAATGAGGAGCTGCAGGTTGTGCTCCAGCTCGGGCAAGGCAAAGCCCTGGGGCTTGGAGTCTTTGCCCAGGGGCAGCTGAGGACTGTCATCCGGGATATTGTGCTTGTGGCTGATCTGGCTGTAGCTGTAATAAACCTTCTGTTCCCGGCCCGTCATGTCTATAACCTGCCACAAACAAGGGTGAACGTGTCTTTAAAATAACTGTATATAAAAAAAAGGAGGAAATCCCTGGCCCCAAACTGAAAATCAGAGATTCCCAAATACTTTAATCACTCTGGGAGGCTACTAATACCCACTGGTATTCCAAATGAGGCAACTGGGATTGCCTCTGTCAAGGCCTGCTAGAGAGTAGGATGAATAAGAAACAATCTGAGTCACAGCTGGAAGAGTCTCCTCTTCTGATCTCAGTCCTGAGTAATTCTCCAAGCAGTGATGATACAAGCTGTGCACTATTTGTTACTGCACAGGAGTCTTTGGTACTTTTATACTTTTTTTTAAGATACATTAATTTTAGATGAATAATTTCATTAAGTGCACACAATCAAATCCCTCACCATCCCTGCCAGGGAGAAGATGGTTCAAACCATGGGTCTGGTTGCACAATCTCAATAAGGACAATTGTGCTTTCAGCAGCAGATGATTGTTTTATCTATGACGGATGTGAAACAATTCAACTTAACTTGCAATTACCAACCAGTCAT